AACTGCTGAGCCAAACTGGCCAGGGCCTATTTTTATGATGTTTTTTTTTTTTTTTTATCCTCACCCGAGGACATTTTTCCATTTTTTGTTCAGATAGAGTGGGAGGGAGAGAGAGGAAGAGAGAGAGAGAGAAACATCGACGTGAAGGGACACATCGAGTGGCTGCCACCCGCATGACCAACCAGGGCCGGGGACAAACTGCAACCGAGGTACGTGCCCTTAGCGGGAACCGAATCCGGGTCTCTCTGTACCGCAGGCCAACGCTCTAACCGCCGAGCCAAACCAGCCAGGGCTATTTTTATGATTTTTATACAAAAAGGTTTAAATACAAAACAAAATGTTTGAATTTTGCCACAGGGCTCCAGAAAAAGAGTAGTATAACGATGTGACAGAAATACGTGGAGCTGAGCCAGAATCTTTGTCCGACAGATTCAACTTGCCTATAATTATAAGTATTAGTTTTCTTTTAGTAAAATACAAAATGAACATCTTAAAGAGAACAGAAGCTTTAAGCCCTGGTAGAGTTTAAAAGCAAGACTTTGAAAGAAAATGACACTAGGTTTTGTCTTCCTGTGTGTGTGTTCCAGAAATAGAGCTTCATTTCCCAAGGAACACAGCACCTTAAGGTTCCCTTCAGCTGCAGTTTGTGGCTGACACAGTTCACGGCAGTGTTCGCCACCGAGAATGGGAAAGCCAAATGCTGACTTTCTTACTCTTACTTGTAGCCAGTAGTGGTCCATGTGACACAGAAGACTGTTGGTAAATAGGTGGAAAGCTTTGACCTTTCTGATGGAGGAGACTGCAATAGATTGAATGTGTTTTCCCAAAATTCATATGCTGAAACCTAATCCCCAATGTGATGGTATTAGGAGGTGGGGCTTTTAGGAGGTGATTATGTCATGAGGCTGGAGCCCTCATGAATGGGATTACTGCCCTTATAAAAGAGGCCCTACAGAACTCCCTTGTCCCTTCTGTCATGTGAGGACATAGTGAGAAGACAAAAATCTCTGAGCCAGGAAGTGGGCTCTCACCAGACATGAAACCTGCCAGTACCATGACCTTGAACTTCTCAGCCTCCAGAATGGTGAGAAATATTTGTTGTTAAAGCCATTCAGTCTGTGATATTTTTGTTACAGCAGCCCGAGCAGACTAAGACAGAGAGATGGATGTGGCTGATACCACCTCTTCTCCCCTTTTTCTCTCTTGAAAGAAAATTACTTTTGTTTTTTAAAAAATCTATTTGAGAGAGAGAGAGAGAGAGAAACATCAATGTGACAGAGAAACATCCATCGGTGCCTCCCATACACGCCCCGATGGGATCAAACCCAAAACCTGTGTATGTGCCCTGACCAGGAATGGAACCCACCACCTTTTGGTATAAGGGACATCGCTCCAACTGAGACACACCTGCCAACACCTGGCAAGTATTTTTTAACCATGAGGTATGCACAGAGTATCTCAGGGCACTCGCCTAGACTTTGATGGCAATACTCCTTACCTCCAATTTTTTTGTGTGTAAAAAAAAAAATCCTTATTTGAGTCACTGTTAGTTAAGTGTTCTATAAGGTACAACCAAAATTGGTAGGTAACTAATAGAGATAGTATAATACTATATAATGCAATAATTTAAAAATATAAATCCTAGAATAAGCTGGTTGCCTGCCTACATAATTTCAATAAAGCTTTTTATCAACAGGTATTTCAAGAGATGATGTCCTATAAGAACAAAGATAAAGTGCCACTAGACTTCACTAGAAGACTTAACTCTGAAGACCCTACTGACATGATGTAGGTGATAATATTCTCATTGAGTTATCTGAAGAAAAGTACTAGGAGGATACACAGAGTTAAAAAACTATCTCAAGAAATACTCTATTGTTGCCACTGTCAGATGGAGAATGAAACCACATTTCTTTGAGTGTTTTTTGAACTGGTTTCTCAAGTTTTAAAAGATTTTCATCCCAAAATTATACTAAACATTTGCCTGGATTGTTTCATTTTTATAGCTTTTTTTTTTTCCTTTTTTTAGAGAGAGGAAGATTTTCTTTTTCTTTTTTAATTAATTTATTTTTGTTACAGATGTTTCTCCTTTTTCCCCACATTGACTCCCTCCCCCCTATTCCCTCCCACCCCGTCCCCAGTTTTGTTGTCTATGTCCATCGGTTATGCGTACATGCCTATAAGTTCTGTGGTTTATCCTCTCCCCCCACCCCCGCCTTCTAAGGAATGTCAGTCTGTACCCTACTTCTATGTCTCTGGGTCTATTTTGTTCACCAGTTTGTTTAGTTCATTATATTCCAGAAATAAGTGAGATCACGTGACATTTGTCTTTCTCTGCTTGGCTTGTTTCGTTTAGGATAATACTTTCCAGATCTCTCCATGTCATCTCAAAGGATATGATGTCTTTCTTTCTTACAGCTCCATAGTACTCCATTGTGTATTTGTACCAAAGCTTTTTGATCCATTCGTCTGCTGATGGGCATTTGGGCTGTTTCCAGATCTTAGCTATTGTAAATAGTGCTGCTATGAACATAGGGGTACATATATTCTTTCTGACTGGTGTTTCAGGCTTCTTAGGGTATATTCCTAGAAGTGAGATCACTGGATCAAATGGCAGTTCAATTTTTAATTTTTTGAGGTAACACCATAGTGTTTTCCATAGTGGCTGCACCAGTCTGCATTCCCACCAGCAGTGCACTAGAGTCCCCTTTTCTCCACACCCTCGCCAACACTTGTTTGATGATTTGTTGATGGTGGCCATTCTGACAGGTGTGAGGTGATACCTCATTGTTGTTTCAATTTGCATCTCTCTGATGATTAGTGATGATGAGCATTTCTTCATATGTCTGTTGGCCATTTGTATGTCCTTTCGGAGAGGTGTCTCTTTAGGTCCTTGGCCCATTTTTTAATTGGGTTCTTTGTCTTCCTTTTGTTGAGTTGTATGAGCACTCTATATATTTTGGAAATTAACCCCTTATTTGATGCATCATTGCCAATGATGCTCTCCCATATAGTGGGTCCCTTTCCATTTTGATGGTTGTTTATTTTGCTGTGCAGAAACTTTTTAGTTTGATGTAGTCCCATGTGTTCATTTTTTCCCTTTGTTTCTGTTTCCTTAGGTGATGTAGTAGTGAAAATTCTACAGCATGTGATGTCTGAAATTTTGTTGCCTGCATTTTCTTCTAGGATTTTTATGGAATTATGAGTCACATTTAAGTCTTTTATCCATTTTGAGTTTATTCTAGTGTATGGTGTAAGTTGGTGGGTCTAGCTTCATTTTTTTTGCATGTAGCTGTCCAATTTTCCCAACACCATTTATTAAAGAGGCTGTCTTTACTTCATTGTATGCTCTTGCCACGTTTGTCAAATATCAATTGAGCATATTGTCTTGGGTCAATTTCTGGATTCTCTATGAGAGAGGAAGATTTTAGAGAGAGGAAGGGAGAGGGGGAGAGAGATAGAAACATCGATGAGAGAGAACATCAATAGGCCACCTCCCGCATGCCCCCCACTGGGGATTGGGTCCACAACCTGGGCATGTGCCCTGACCGGGAATCGAACTGGCAACCTCTTGGTGCATGAGTTGACACTCAACCACTGAGCCACACCAGCCGGGCTCATTTTTAGTTGTTTTTTGTTTGTTTGTTTTTTTTATTCTCGCCTGAGGAAATTTTTTGCATTTATCTTTAGATAGATTGGGAGGGAGAGAGAGAGGAAGAGAGAGAGAGAAACATCCATGTGAGAGAGACACATCTAGTGGTTGCCACCCATACCACCCCAACCAGGGCCAAGGACAAACTGCAACCAAGGTATATATCCTTAGCTGGAATGAAACCCAGGACTCTCTGGTCTATGGGCCAATGCTCTAACCACTAAGCAAACTTGCCAGAGCTCAGTTTTATAGTTTTATTGTGTATGTTTGTGTTTAACATTTTAATCTGGCCAGAATTAATTTTTAATTGTAGTGTTATGGTGTGGGAGAGAGATCAAATTTTGTTATTTCAATAGAAAGACACTGTCCCCAACTGTATACTGGGTAATTTACTCTCTCCATTTATTTGAGCCCTCACCAATTATCACTCAGTTGTCATGTACATGTGTACGTATATGTATACAGGGTGGGTTTACAGTTGTGAATATACAAAACACCAAGTTTCTTCTTGCATTATTATTTATTAACTATTGTATTGTTTTCCATACGAATAACTATAAACCTACTTTGCCCCACCCTGTATGTCTTTTGCCAAATTTGGAAAGTTTTCAGCCATTATTTCTGTGAATATTTTTTTTCAGCCCCTCATTGTTTCTCTTCTCCTGGGGATATGATGTTATTTGTTATTGTCCCACAAGTCCACGAGGCTCTTTGTTCCCTCCCTTAGCCTCGTCTCTCTCTGCTGTTCAGATTAAGTAAAATCTATTGGTCAGTATTCAGATTTCTGATCCCACCTTCTATCATTTCCACTCTACTATTGAGCCCATCCAATGAGTTTTTTTTTTAATTAATTAATTTTTTTCCTTATTGATTTTTAGAGAGAGGAAGGGACAGGGAGTGAGAGAGAGAAACATCGATGAGAGAGAACATTGATTGGTCGCCTCCTGCATGCCCACCACTGGGGATTGGGCCCACAACCAGGGCATGTGCCCTGATGGGGAATTGAACCGGTGATCTCTTGGTGCATGGGTTGACACTCAACGACTAAGCCACACCAGCTGGGCAAGTTATTATTATTATTTTTTTAATCGTCACCTGAGGACATGTTTTCATTTTCTGATCAGATAGAGTAGGAGGGAGAGAGAGAAAGAGAGAGAGAGAAACATCGATGTGAAAGGGACACATCGAGTGGTTGCCACCCACACGACTCAAACAGGGCCAGGGACAAACTGCAACCGAGGTACATGCCCTTGGCGGGAACCGAACCTGGGTCTCTGTGAACCACAGGCCACCGCTCTAACCGCTGAGCCAAACCGGCCAGGGCAAGTTCTTCTTTTTTTCTTTTTTTTAGGGGAGAGTAAGAACATAGTCCTTCACTACCACAAATTGTGCAGTCGAGTTCCCCCATTTAGGGAAATCAAAGGGGTCAGCATATCCCGAGAGCGATGGATGAGCCTCGCCCGGGGAAAACCACCTTTGTGATCATGGTATCTCCCCTGCCAGGTACGTGCGGGTTTTTGGTTCAGTTATTGTACTTTTCAGTTTTTTTTTTGTTTTTTTTTATCCTCACCCGAGGATATTTTTTCCATTTTTTGTACAGATAGAGTGGGAGGGAGAGAGAGGAAGGGAGAGAGAGTGAGAAACATCGATGTGAAGGGACACATCGAGTGGCTGCCACCCGCACGACCAACCAGGGCCGGGGACAAACTGCAACCGAAGTACGTGCCCTTAGCGGGAACCGAACCCGGGTCTCTCCGGACCGCAGGCCGACACTCTAACCGCTGAGCCAAACTGGCCAGGGCTACTTTTCAGTTTTATAGTTTCCATTTTTAAAACATATTTTTCTTTGCTGATATTTTCTCTTTTTTGTTTGTTCCAAGAAAATTTGTAATTATTTTTAAGAGCAGCATTTTAGGATGGCTGCTTCAAAATGTTCGTCAGATAACTCCAACACCTGATTCATCTTAATACTGGCAGTTGGTTATCTTTTCTCATTTAATTTGCCATGTTCCTGGTTCTTGGAATGACACATGATTTTCTATTGTATCCTAGGCATTTTGAATAATGTTGAGAGACTCTGAGTCCTATTTGAAGCCTGTATTTTAGCAGGCCATCGAGATGTGGGTCTTGGCTTACTTTTGTGGGCTGCGGTTCCAAGGATAGTTTCGTTTCCAGAACGCTTGGTCTCCTTAGTTCACCTTGGGCTGCTGGGAATCCCACCGGTGCCTCATGCTGGGGCCAAATACCCATTTCTGGTCCTGGTGTTGCTGGGGGCTGATACCAGCAGGCCTTCAAGGGGTAGAGCAGTCCCTGGGTTGCCCAGTGCGGGTGGGGGCTCTGCTCTACCCCTGCTGGTGCCAAATACAGATGAAAGGCACTTCCCTGAGCCTACTGTTTCCTCTAGGCAGGAGGTGGGCAGCGCATGGACATGGGACAGAGACTGTTTCCCCTTCTACTCTCAGGGCTTCTAGGGTTGCGGGGGTCCCCATATGACCGCTATTGTAGCTTCAGGGCGGAGGAGAGCCTACCCGAGTCACCATGAGCTATGGGGGAATAAAGGAGGAAAAACTTTACTTCTAATCATCTTAGGTTTTTAGCAAAATTCTTTAAAAAAAAAGAGTAACAAGAAAAAAACAGATTAAAAAAAAAATCTTCACCTGAGGATATTTTTTCCTTCATTTTCACATAGAGTGGGAGGGAGAGAGAGAAAGAGAGAGACATCGATTGGCTGCCTCCCTCACGGCCCTGAGCAGCAACCACAACCGAGGTAGGTGCCCTTGACCAGAATTGAATCTGCGACTCTGGTCCACTGGCCGATGCTCTAACTGCTGAGCCAAACTGGCCAGGGAGAGAAAAACAAGTTTTTAAACTCATGCAGCCCACATCACATGAGAGAAATCTAAGCCCGAACTAACTCAAGATGGCAGTTTAGAATTCCAGCTTATGCAGCATTCGCAACAAAAACAATACATTTGGGCTCTCTCTGCAGGGAGCATGTCCATGCCATTCCCTTCCCTTGCTCCTTCCCCCACAGGCATGCATCTCCTACACTCCAAGGAACCCCACAAGACTTGCAACCAGGGGAGCAATGGGCAGTGGCAGCTCATCCCAGGCCAACCCCTGAACCTGCCTCCAAGGCCCCCTTTTCTGACTCCCGGTGAGCAGAGCAGCCCTGCCCAGACTCTCCTGTTGCCTCTTCTGGGCCCTTCCCTGTTTCACTGTACTAAGCATATTTTTGCTAAGGCCAATCAGTTCTTGCTTGCTTTTCTACAAAACAACCAACCAAAACAAAATAAACCTCTACCCCCCAAAATACCCTATACATTTGCAAAGAAATGGCGGGACCTAGCAATCAGTTTTAGGCTTCGCAGGGTCGCGGTTGGGAAGGTAAATGCTGGGAGGGAACTACTGAGGCTTGTTTGGAGCTTCCTGTGGTGCGGTCTCCAGGCTGATCCAAGTCTGTCTTCAGTAACAGGCGGATTTAAATCTTGCCGTCCCGCAGACAAGGACAAAGTCTTTCTGCCTTCGCTGCTTCTGAATTGCCTTCAGCTCAAAATAATTTTTATGTCAACGAGACATATTTTGGTTTCCTTCAGGGGAAGAGTCTGGGAAATGCCAGGTCGAGTTGCCTTCTATCGGAAGGAGAAGGGGAGGTGCCAGCCTTGTCTTCCCGGCTCCCCCGACAGCCCTCATGGGGCCAGCTGGTGTAGCACGAGGGGTGAGACTCCCAGCTCGGTGTCTGCTGAGCTGCCCGTTCCCGGTCCTCGGGCCAGAGAGAGCATGCTTTTCTTGGGGCTTCTTTTGCTCTGTGCCTGTTGGTGGTTCCAGGTCACAGCCTCTCCAACACTTAATTGGAGATATACGGGAGACACAAAGAAAACCCAGGGACCGCACAGCCCTGCTGTTCCTTCAGTCCTCAGGTCCCTAGCCAGTGTGCCTTCTTTTTCCCATCTTTCAGAGACCTTTCAGGGTTGTCGATTTTTATGGTTTTATTCAGAGGGAAGGAAGAGGGAAACATGCATTTAGCACATCTTTCCAAGTTGCACCTTTAAAGTAAGCTGTGATGTCTTCCAGCTCCTCCTCACCAATATTATCCACTTGTGGTATACACACTGACCAGAGGGACACAGGAAAGGGAGATGGCGAGGCAGCGACGTCCTCCCTCTGTTTACCCCTATGGACTGTTCTGATGTGCAGTTTCTCCCTGCAAAACTTTTGTTCCCATGCTCCGTGAGCAATCTGCTGTGTTTTCGTGGCCAGTGTTGGAACAACGGGCAGCACTGGGGTGCATTGCATCACCCTGGTGGAAGCCTCCTGCTTCAGCCACCAAAATGTCACCAGCCCTCTATTCTTGCCTTGGACACTGCTTTGTTTGGAGGACTTCTATTTAGGTGTGACCGGGCATCACGTCCCCATGTCACTTTCGAGGTGTGTGGTGGGTACGCAGGTGCCAATGGAACTCTACTTTCAATTTTTGGGACACTTTGAAATGTAACGTTTTATATTGTCCTGTGTTATATTCCTGTGAAGAAAGAGTCCTAGCAAGGTTATACATTGTTGTAAAAATCATATGTGAAGCAGTATGTGAAGACCACTATCCCTTTCCATTCCAATTTCTTCTTTAAAAAAAATTTTTTAAACTGATTTTAGAGAGAGGAAGGGCGAGGGAGAAAGAGATGGGAACATCGATGTGAGAGAACATCGACTGGCCGCCTCCTGCATGCCCCCCACTGGGGATCTGGCCCACAACCTGGGCGCGTGCCCTGGCTGGGAATTGATCCGATAACCTCTTGGTGCCTGGGTCAACACTCAACCACTGAGCCACACCATCCGGGCCATTCCAACTTTTTTGCACAGTGGGAGCATTGGAGTGGCTGTGGGCATTTTTGGAATCTGGCCAAGGGGAAAATGAGCTGGACTACATGGATTTTGGGTTGAATGGGATATAGTTACATGTTTTGTACTCTATTCCATGGTTATGGATCACCACCCTCAGGTAGAAATGACTTTCAGGAGTTCTGCCCACGGTGCCACCTCAACTGTGGTTCTTTCCGTCCACAGGAGCGGAGCTCACATCGCAGTGTGAACAAGCATGATGGGAACAACACTGGAACACGTGGCAGCTGAGGACAGGCAGGGCCTGAAAGGCATGGAGCCAGACTCTAGTCCCGGGAAATGATTCCAAATACCCAACGTGCGAAATTATAGGTGGTTGATTTAGTTCTCATGAGCACCTAGTCAAAACTATGAATAATTAAATAATTTTGATGAATTATACCGGAGAAAAGATCAAATTATCTTCCTTTTCTGTTAATGAAAGTTGTTATCACAAAGACACTATTATAGAAAGAGGCAATCGAAGCACGTCCAGCCATAGATTTTGAGGATCTTGTGCTGGCTGGAAAATCTAGAAACAAGAAATAATTTTATTCTTGCCCTGGCCGGTTTGGCTCAGTGGTTAGAGCGTTGGCCCGCGGATCGGAGAGTCCTGGGTTCGGTTCCCGCTAAGGGCACATACCCGGTTAAAGTTTGTCCCCGGCCTCGGTTGGGGTCGTGTGGGTGGCAACCAATTGATGTGTCTCTCTCACATTGATGTTTCTCTCTCTCTTCCTCCCGCTCTATATGAAGATAAATGCAAAAATGTCCTCGGGTGAGGATTAAAAAAAAAAAAAAAAGAAAGAAAGAATTTTATTCTCGAATATAGTAAATCCTGAATCCTTTTTCTCCCCCCCCTCCACCCCTGGATCCTTTATATTTTTTTCTTAGCTTCCTTAAAAACTGAACAGTTCCCTCTTAAGCTGACCTCTTTCTCTATCTTATAGGGAGCCAAGAGAAAGTGGCATTTTCAATATTCTGCCTGGAGGTCTCCTTAGCTAGATCATCGGGTATATTAGATACATTTTCTACTTTCCACATTGTTGCAGGCAAGAGTGTGTTCAGTTTTCTGCTATCCCTCCAGCTCTCCATGGCATTTCCTCACTTCATGGGGACGCCTGCGCTGCCGGCTTCCTCCACGCTCCTCCATCATTCCCCACAGACTCCTCGGACACCTCCCAGCTCCTCCTGCTGCCCAGTCTGAAAGCCAAGTGCCATGTGCTTAGGTGTTTTAGGGTTTTGTTACAGCTGCACTTCACCATTAGGTGAGACAGTTGGTTCTGGTGATCCACTGCTGTGTAACACGTGAGAACTGCAAATTATGGCACACACGACTCTGCGGCCCTCTCCCACCCCGACTGAGACTTGGCTGAGCGCTGCAAGGCGGCCAAAAGAATGGACTGTTTCTTCCAGCCAAACCCGATGATCGGCACCTGTCCTCCCTCCCTTTAGAGCGTTTGCTTTAGAAACGTTGCCACTGTCGATCCTTTCTCTGCCCCTTTGAGTTGTATTTGTCCCTTCTACAATCCAAGAGTGTCTTTTCCAAGGGCTTGCCATCATCAGTAAGGACAGGGATGGTGAGAACACAGGGGTGGCTTAATCACATCTCGTGGCACGCTTCAGTGCTTTTTTCTTT